GGAATCTTACTTGTTTCCAGACATGAAGTGAAATTTCTAGTCTAGATTCTATCTGGAAGCTTCCAGGTGTTGGTTTCTCTGTCCCGTCACTTCTCTCTAGGGTGCTGCCAGGTGACCTCACGGGGTGCCATGCTGAGAGTTTCTTCCGTGGACAAAGGAAGATGGGAAGTGCAAGTGAGGGGGAGGGGAAGGGCAGGAAGTGAGAGATTAAAGAATCCTGTCAGGTCCAGGATGTGTAGAACCCCACACACAGCCTGAGCTCAGGAGTCTGCCCCGGAGCCTGGGGGGTTTCCAAGGGGAGTGGACGCAACAGAGACCACTGGGTTGTCAGAAGCCTTGATTGTGTGTGTGTTTTCTTTAATATGTAGAAAAAAATTACTCATTTAACTCGCAGGGGTCAAGCTGGGCACCCTCTGCTCAGTCTGTGCACCAGATGACCACTATCATACACTTTCCCTGGGGACAGGGAGGGCAGCTTCACTGCCCCAAGGGGTCGCCTGCAGGTTTCCTCTTTCAGCAGGTTGTGATTGTGGCAATTTGTGCGAGCCTGGTTAAGGAGATTTACAGATTATGCCAGCCAGTGTTAATTGATAATCCTTGCAAAAAGGGACAACTGGCCTTCAAAGGTTTCTGCAAACAATGCAAACACCAACAAAAAAATTAAAAGCAGAGGATCAGAATAAAGAAAATACTGGTAATATAAACACAAGGATATAACAAAAACAAGACAGCTAATATTTTGTCACCTCTTATTGCAAGTTCTCCATTATCCGTATCCCAAGATAAAAATATCAGTGATTTAATCAGAACTGACAGTGGGCCACAAAATTTTTTATCATCAAGAGGACTGTTGAAAAGGCATTTATGTCTACTGTCATTAATGATTACTTGGGTCTTGTATATATTGGGGCCTTTAGCAAAGGATGGTATAAGAAAACAACCATAATTCAGCAGATATTTTAAAATATGAATTTTTCAGATTATCTCATCTTTTTTACTATCTGTGTGTATGACTTATTATGTATGAGGTTATTTTCATGATAACTAAACAAACACGTTAGGCTTGCATGCTGCATTGGTTAAGCATATATATTGCTATATAACCAACCAACTCAAAACGTTCTGGCTTAAAACAGCAAGGTACTATTGTCTCTCATGGTCTGTAAGTTGTCTGGGTTCAGCAGGGTGGTTTTCTACCTGCAGCTGATGCTGGATGTCAGCAGGGAGCTCATCTGGGTTGTTGACTAGTGAGCCTACACGTGGCCTCTCCCTCAGGCTCAAGATTTTTACAGCATGGTGTCGGGGTTGCAAATGGGGGAGACCCCATGCCTTCCAAGAGGAAAGAAGCAGAAGCTTCCAGGCCAGTTCAAGGGTGCCCTTAAAATTGGAACCGTGTTACTTCTACATTTGTGCCATATTCCATTGGTCAGAACAGTCACAGGGCCTACCCAGATGCAAAAGTGCAGGGAAAGAGAAACCACCTCGTGATGGGGTTGAGCAGAAGAGCATGTGTAACGGACAATCATATTGTGGCCATCTTTGAAAACTACAGTCTGCTACATATGCTAAAGCTTTTCCTTCTGGGTGTACAGTCATAAAATTGTAAGCCATTGGAATGACTCAGAATTGTAGGTAAGATCACATACCTGGTGGTCACACTGACTTGACCTATCACATTGATCTTGGGAAATTTAGCTAACATCTCTGAAAATCAAGAAAATAGCATCTGTGGGGTGGGGGTGGGACCACTTTCCAGTATTAGATAGGAAGATGCACACCCAAAGTACCCACAATATTGTAAGTGGCTGGATCAGTAGCAGATATTCTTATGGTTTAGACACCTTTTAGAGCAAGCACTCTGATGACAGCACAGAGGATGTATGAGATAGAGGAGAAGGTGGAAGATCCAGGATGCCACCAAGGTGACCAATGGAGAGACTATCGCCCGGTGAGGGGGATCAAGGAAGGAGAAAAGCAGGTGGAGAAATGTGCATGTAGAAGTTTTAGCGTGAATTGGTGTCTTACTGAATGGGGCGAGAAAGGAAAGGAAACATCTAGAGCTATGCTTCTGTGATTGATCTTTTGTAGTAAGTAGATTTCGTTAAGAATCTGTCCCCATCAAATATCATATGTTTGCACGTATAGGAGGATTAGGAGGAACTTGACGGAGGACCAAGGGGGAGAAGAAGGGGGGAAATGGTGGGGGAAAGGGAG